GCTGTGCTCATATTTTAATTCTTTGCTGAAGGTAGTCAAATACGCATGTTTTCTGCAAATTTCAAGAACATTGCGAATTCTCAAACCTGTTTTCCAATATCTTGATTCTCAAAAACGAAATTTTATTATAGAAAATGAAAGCACTAAGTGTCTACCTTATTTTGAAATATGAAATCGGAAAGAGGGTGATAGTTAATTAATTGATATAAGTACAGGGTCATTTTATGCATAAGATGGCTCTTGCTCTTTAAAAACTCTTCTTGTACGAGGGCTGTTCAATAAATAATGTCCTCGGTGATCGGAAAGAAGCAAAAGATGATTTAGTCTTCATTATTTTACTTATTAATCTCTTTTAATTAAAACACGTGCCCGTAACATTTTTTATCCAATTTCTGATTGTTTGTAGAACTCATTTATGGGTATGACCCTTAGTATACTGAAAAATGGAAGATCCAGTGATTTCCTGGACTTGTTTCTTCCTTATTAAAGGTGTTTTTTTCAAGTTTGGAAATTGAAACAAGTCAAAAGGTCAAAGATCTGGCGAATATTGTTAATGTGAAAAATATTAACTATCTGTTTATCCCGAAAACCCCTTACTCTTCAGGACATGTGGGTTTGGACGCTGTCATGAAGAAATTTAATGTAGTGGATTAGTGATTCTGGGTCCTTCCTCTAGTAAACCTTTCAAGCAATTTCCTTTCTAGACTCCTCCAGAAATTGAACTGCCACCCCGAATACGCATTTGAACAACAATACCACTAATATTTAAGAAAATTGCATAAATTTGTTTTTGTGCTCTTGCAATTCCCTGCTCTCGCCAGACCTTTGCTGTTTTTGTCAAGTACATCTTATGGTAAATTTTGTTTTGAGGATTTAAAGCAAAAGATTCAAGTTCCATTATCTGTTTGAATATCAAAAAAGCGTGAATAACTCCAATTACTGATTTTTTTTTTAAATGGTAAGGCATTTGAACACGCTGTCGTTTTCACTAATTTTTCAAAATAAAGGGTGACCTTTGAGTACTAAGCTTTTTTACCGTCAAAAGTGTAAACTACCCCCGATGTGATGTCTATCAAATTTGCTATGTGTCTTAAAGTCAATCCTACATCATCAAGTATTATTTGTTGAAATTTGGCAAACAAATAATAAGTTGTTTTAATTTTTTGTTGGCAAGGACGGTACACATTTTTGATGCCCATTAAATAATATTTTATCATTGAAATCCACCTGCTCATTTGTCTATAAAACAGGCATTGGTTGCTGTAAATGTCACATATTTCGGTGAATATTTCTTTGGTATTTTTAACTGCAGCTTTGATGAAGCTTTTATTTTCTCTCTAGTTTACCGATTCTTTACCATTCATTTATAATGCAGTGTCTCGAATAGCCCTTGTTTCCCAGCTTCTCACAATGAAACTATGTGATGAAAAGTGGTCACATAAACTGTTATAAATTCATTAAAGATTCAATTATGAGAGAGAGTCAAGTTAAATGTCATATGTAAAAACTCCACAATTTGCTTAAGGAGGCTCATTACACCACTTTTTGATGACGTACTACACAAAAAAATAAACCTCCATTGTTTCGACCGTTTTCCTCTGGGGACGAATTGTACAGTTACCTCTATAATATGACCCTGACCTTTAAAATGTTTTAAAATAGATGAAACATGCGGTGTTATAAACAGCGAAAACAAAGTAACGGATTCATTATGCATAGTCCAAGAAGGACTGCTTTTAAGCAGATCTAGAAACAAAAGAAAACAACAGCCAAATCTTCGTGCAAATATTGTGCAATTTCATAGCAATGCATGCAGTGAGCTCTATCAATGACATGTTTGTATGGAGGAAATTCGAGTTAAAATTTACAACCTTATTGAAATATTAAAAAAGTTATTTACTTGCACTTTTTACTGTGTTAGTGTTAATTTATAAATTTGCTTTATTGATTTAAATATATACTCTGGGAATTTAAAGCTTTGTTCTGAATTTAAGATGTAATGTTTAAACGTTCCTTAGTGTTTTGAGTCTTGGCTATATAATTAGGAAAGACAACTCTTAAAAGCAGACTTTTTATACCAAATATTTTTTAAATTGGAATTTTCATTTCGTTTAAACATTCTTCATTCAATTTGTCACATGTAATTCATTGAAATACATGCCTTGTCTCTTCAGAACTCATTTTCTTAATGTTTTGTGCACAGATTAAAAAGATAATGACATAAATTGTTTTTTGGGAGAAAATTATTTTTTCTAATAAAATTAATATTAGGTATTATGAGGTATTTTCACTGTGTATACTTGTCTTAAGAAGATGCCCATCATTTGACACTGGAAGTTCTCAAGTTCTGGTAATAATAAACTTGAAATAAAACATTTCACTAAAATTAGACAAAAGCTAAAAAATTCTTTACAAAAGCTAAAAAATTCTTTACAAAAAAATATTTATGATATCAATACCTCGTTCTGGATATTTGACATCTACATTATAAGTGGTGCTGTAATGAAATCTAATATAAACTGTGGATGTAATGAGCCACCTTATATCTTCTTAAAGAGATTGTTTTTTTTTTTTTTGTCCACTGTTTAATGTCCCTCTCAAGAAGTTATCACTCATTTTGGAAACGCCAACACCTGCAAGCGGAGAGCTGCAAGTTTTGTCCTTTACTCGGCACTCATGACTTTTAAGCTGTCAGAGAGCTTTTTCGTGCTAACTCGTACTGCTACACAGGACCACGGATCAACGATCTCATCTAAAGGACCGGTCTCCATGTCCCATATTCGAACTTGCAATCAACTCCTTACTTAATGACTCGCAGAGCAGACGCTCTAACCAATGCGCCACACGGGTAATATTAAAAAGATTGAATATGTTTTCCTATGAAATAGAATTCACACTCTAAAGAGGACAAAAAAGGATCATTTTCTAGTACTATGACAAATTTTTTCACATGAGTGGATCATCGCTCTATTCCATGGCTTTGCCTCAAGATCACAAAGGATAAGATGTTTCAGATAAATACTAGTAGTTTGAAAGAATGTTGCGAATAGGACAAAGTGACCTTAAGTCAAGGCCAACATTCTAAGGTTGTAAGCAATCTTTTTAGGCATATTAGTTTCCATCGTTTCAGCAGTAGAAAGACAGAAAAGAAATGTAGAGTTCTTTTAATAGTGACTTTGACAAAGTTGGAATATCGAGTAAATGTTGGAAAATATCTTTAAAAAATCTTCTTTTCAAGTATGGCAATTTTATACATGTATGCTTTATTGCTATAGTGACATTCTCAAGTAGTAGAAAATTCCAACCCCCACCCCCCCCCCCCTCCCCAACAAGTAAGCTTTCCAAAATAAGCTGATTTGTATTTTTTTACTAGCCCATATGCTCAGGTGAGCGATGTGGCGCATGGGTCTTGTATATTTATACAAATTAAGAGGATAGAGATACAGAAAAAAAATTGTGACCTTCAAATTCCAACAAAGAGGGTATCATGAACTTGAATAGTAAAATCTAAAGAAAAAAACCTTTCTAATTGTATAATTGTCAGTGCAGTGTAGTGCTCTTTCTCTTGTTTGATATTAAAGCTGTCAACATCCCTTGCTAGTTTCGTCTGTTTGGGATAGGCGAATAGGATAAAACAGTCTAGCTATGTTTAGATATTGTTAATATGTTACTTAGTATTAGCATTTCTAGGTGATTCTCTGTTTGACATTTAAAGCTCATCAGTTTTTGATTGCATAGATTTCTTTTGTTTCTTTGTTCATTTTTGGAATACAAATGTAGGGATCGAGAGGTTGTATCCGAAAGTAATTGTTTTGTTCTCAAACTTTCTATACTGTTATGATACAGATTCCACTCCATGACTCCGATCCGCTTAGCTTTTTACCCCAAGCCCAGCCAGAGTTGGTAATTATCATTTCTAAAAGGTTTGAAGTTATTGTCCAAACCAAGGCCATCTGAGGTTGCGAGAACATTTGTGGACAAAATTATATTGACACATATGTAGGTCGGACAAAAACGATACAGTAAAACACGGTTATAGCGAAGTCCTGGGGACCTGTGAATTCAGGCGCGGATCCAGGATTTGGAGTTAGGGGGGCGCCAAAATTAGGCAAGGGGTCTGGGGGCCGCCTTGAGGCCCCCAGTGGGTCCAGGGCAAAGCCCTGGTGGGGGCCCAGGGGGCGAAGCCCCCGGAAGCTCCTGGATTCTAGAGATTTTGAAGGGTTAAAATGAGGTCTACCAAAGCCCTGGTGGGGGCCCAGGGGGCGAAGCCCCCGGAAGCTCCTGGATTCTAGAGATTTTGAAGGGTGAAAATGAGGTCTACCAAGTAGACATATTTGATTTACGCTAACTTTGACAATTTTAGGGGGGGCGCGCGCCGGGTGCGCCCCCCCTTAAATCCGCCACTGGAATTCAATTCGCTATATCCGTAATTCGTTATATCCGTGTAACGAATTTGTATAACCATATATAGCGAATTCGCAATATGCATGTTTTCCTTCAAGTGTTACTATCAAATATGTTAGGGAAGCAAATATTACAAAACATACCTTCTATAACTAAGGTTTTATTATGAATTGAATTTTATATACAAATACTGAGAGAAAATAAAGTCAGTTCAATTATTCAAATTTTGAAATCTTTGAAAGTTCGTTATAAAAGATGTAAAATTCATTATATTTAACCTCAACGGGACTCAAAATCAGTTCGCTATATCCGTAAATTCGTTATATCAGAGTTCGTTATAAGCGTAAAATTTTACAAAGATTTGTTAAGAATTTTGCCGGGGACCCAGAAAAACTTCGTTATATCCGTGAATTCGCTATATCCGTGTTCGTACTAAACGTGTTTTACTGATTTCGTCCCGTCTACGTTACGGGTGATATAAAATCTTACTGAAATTGTTAAAACTTCTATCAATAACAATGTAAGCATAACAGTGTCATTTTTTGTAATGTCATACTATAAATAGACACGTGAAAAAAATAAGTTACACTCCCTTCAACATGCTTACGCAATTTGACCTTGCTGAATTACTTTTTCACATCCGTTTCACTTAATTCATTCATAAACAAACGTGGTTGATCCCATCAATGACATTTAACGGCGATTTTACTGAAGAGATATAGACCATTGCAGACAAAAAGGTTGGTCATTTATTTTATTTGATATTTATATATTTATTTTTCTTGCAACATAAACAGAACGTGTGCAAAGCGATTATGCATTTAGTTGCTCAAGTTGCAATTTAAAAGTCACACCATGGCCCAAATGTGTTGATCTATTTTTAAAGCCAACGCATAGGAAATATTTAGTGCAAAGCTGAATGAAATCTGTTTGTGTGTCAAACATGGAAATTTAAAACTAACGTTTTGTTCAAAAAATAAATGTAATGTACCGTATTTGATAGTTAAATGAAGGGGAAGGGCATTTCATTCATCGGGTGTGTCGACGTTTACAAAGCAACTTTTAAAAATAAATGATTATGTTTTAAATATTTTCTTAAAACATGTCATCAATTTTGAAACATTTCATCTTAAGACGATTATTCATTTCACATCACTTTATTTGTGAAAGTATTCTTCAAATATCAACATATTTTTTAGAAAATGACATTAAGCAAGCTATGCAACACATAATATAAAACCAGACTTGATTAATCGATCAGATCGGTAATCGATCACTAATCGATTGTAATCGAACACTAATCGATTGATTACTTATGGTCATCGATCACTAATCGATCAATCCTCAGGAAGTTTGATCGATTAGTGATCGATTACTTTTTGATCGATAATTGATCGATAACTCTTTTAATACTATAAATTGTAATAATGACCATACATGAGGAACACAAGATTTACAGTTGTTGACTTGTATTGAATTCACATTTGATTAAATACATACATTTTACTCACATCTACTGATTACATGTATATATATAATCATAGTTGTCAAACAAAACGCAAAATAAGATTATGCATTTAACATGTTTAACATAGACATATGGGTTTAACATCAGCTATACTGTCCAGATTTCTGATTGCAACCCATGTAACATGACATTTAATTACTATATTCCAAAGCATTAAAAATACAAATTGCAAAAACAAGGACAAGGCAAGGATCACACCAAAAAGCTGAACACCAAATACCACCAATAAAATTTGCAGCATGTGCATAAACAATGTATACAAGAAATGCTTGCTTAAATCAAATGGAATGGAAAAATAACTGTAAAATATTGTTCTTTTGAAGACAATTTTCAAGAGTTTCTTTGTTTTCCTTATGTGTCCCTTGGCCTGGCTGGTGATGTAAATGGAATCAGTATTTCCACCTATTAGAATAGAAATAAAGTACATATTATAATAAACCATTTTTTAAAACCATTTGGTATAAAAGTAAGAATCACACAATAGTATAAATCTATTTCCTGCGAGTGGAAATATTTATGACCCCAATGCTGGAATTATTATAAATCCTTTTTATTTCTTTATTTATCTATTCATTTTATTATCATAAGTATTCTGAATCTTATGAACTCGGTGAATTACTTTATAGATTGTCTTGAATTAGAGAAGCAAAGGTGGTTTTATAAAGCCTAATGGAGAACATTTTGTCTACCATCAAAGAACTCCTGCAGAACCAAGCAGAACCATATCATATAGAGATAGCAATCCAAATCAGAAATAGTAAGCCACTATTTTTTTAATTCTTTGATTCAAAGTTGAATTTAGGACTATTACTTTACTTTTTTCCTACTTTCAATCATTTTCTTCCAATAGATCAAGACGATGGGGAGGAATGTTTGTGTAAAACCTATGAATGGAATGTTGGAACTAATGAACTGCTGGGTCATACGGTAAAGGATACAACAGGAAAACAGCTAGGATCATCATCCATATCAAGAGAGGAACATAATCCTGATATAATTATTTCAGAAGAAGAGTCTACTTTAACTCATCAACTACCCCAGATTTCAGTAAGAATAGTTCTTTTCGGATAATGTTAATTTCTATGAAGCTGTATCCATGAGTATCAATTTTGCATTGATCAATTTTACTATCTTACATTTGAAATATGTATTCAAAACTACTAGTAAGCTCCTTCTTTGCGTAACCTTATACGGGGAAAATCTTAAGATGTGATGAACATCACGAGTTTGGTAGATATATTAATTTTATTATGCCTTTTACCACATTAAAGGAGCAATTTAGAAGCATTCAATCCACATTACTAGAACTGTGCAACGGAATAAAGAAAATTGAAGATAGCAGATCCTCAAACAAGGCAGAAAAAGAAAGCAAAAGATTGCCTTCTGATATTCGCAAAGTTGCCAATAAATATCAACATGCATTTGGTAAAATGATTTTTTAATCCTTAATTGAAATAAATCATTTTCTGCTTTTAACATTTAAAATGTTGTACGTATAATAAATTTTGTCTGTATTGATATAGGTGTACACCGAAAGAAATGGTTAAAGAAATTGTTTTGTTTTGTTTTTTAATTGGATTTTCAGTAATTTTTTTTTCAATTTTTATTCCAGCATATGCGTTTATTCGTCAGTTTGGACGCCTCCTTCAGTTGGATGAAAGACATTTGGATGAAGTAGAGCAATATTCGGGATATGGAACAAAAGAAGTGTTCTGGCAGATTATAAGAATATGGATGGAGAACTCGGAATCCCAACACATGACGGTGTCTAATTTATTGACAGCCCTGTCAGAGTGTGGAGTAGATCTTAAAGGTTTAGTAGATATTGCTACTCTCTAGGTGATATGGATGCATAATTATTAAAAAAAAAATAAGAATAAAATATGAAGATTTCTCACAGTAATCAACCTTTCAAGTCCATTGAAACAATATAAATTGGGAGCAGAGCGAGCAAAAACCTCCAAAACATCAGAGGTGGGATCAGGTTCTATCGAAGATCAAGCATTGGTTTCGGCTGCTCACCTGCCGTGTGTTCCTGTCATTATTGTGTAAATTAAAATCGGGTGGAAAATAATGGCTCAACAATTTACATGAAAAACATAAGCCAACATTTTACATAGCAACTGATCGTATTCGCTAATAATGTCATTGCAACGGAAAAATAATCTGTGAAAAAATAAATTTAAAATAGACTGGTTATATTCCTGTATTTCATCTAGATTTTTTTTAACAAAAAGTTCCAAATTTACTTAAAATCTCCGAGATTTGAATTTGTAAAAACGCTGCAGATAATTTTGAATATTTTCATATAACTCTATAATTTACAAACGAGTAAATTACTTGTATTAACATGTATTATTATGCCCCCCTTCGAAGAAAGGAGGGCATATTGCTTTGCTGCTGTCTGTCGGTCGGTCTATCGGTGTGTCGGTCCATTTAGTTTCCGTTCATTTTCTTCATAACTGTTGCACATACTGAAATCAAATTTGTTATACAGATATATCACATGAATATCTAGGTCAAGTTCTGTTTTGGGTATGATTGCACCATTTTTGACAGAGTTATTCCCCTTGGACATGGAAAATTTTCAATTATTTGCAGTTTCTGCTCATTTTCTTTGCAACCGTTGCACATACTGAAATCAAATTTGGTATACAGATATATCACATGAATATCTAGGTCAAATTATGTTTAGGGTACGATCGCACCATTTTTGACAGAGTTATGCCCCTTGGACTTGGAAAAACTTCAATTATTTCCCCTTGGACTTGGAAAAATTTCAATTATTTGCAGTTTCTGCTCATTTTCTTTGCAACCGTTGCA